AGCGAGCTTTACCACTTATTAATTGTCATACACTTTAATCATTTGCTCATGTAAATTCTTTTCAAACCTTTCATTAAAAAGGTTAATGGTAAGCAGCTGAATTTAAATGGCAAATGTAACCATGCAATTGTTTCCTGACAGAGCTCTCTAGACGAGAAGCAGTAACAATTTCAGTTTCCTGAGTGTGTTTGAGGACCATATTTTCTTTATCACATAAGAAAAGGCTCTGCTATGCCTGTCCAGGCAGGTCTGCTTTGTACATCTATCAACAGAGCTGTTTGCCCAAGGGAAAAAAAAAAAAGAGAAAAAGAGAGCTCTAAACAAAATAAAAATAGCAACAGTGGAAAACTGACCAAAAACCATTTTAATTCATTGAGCACCAAAGGAATGTTGAGTTTCTATAATGGTATTTCCCATTGGATCCAAATTGTCCCCTTTACAACATTGGTCGTAAATACTTTTTTCATTGCTTCAGTAATATTATTGCACATCTGGACTAAATATGATCAGCCTTAGATCTTACTGATGCAGTGCATGCTGGTGCATTTGCAGGAATGGACTGTGCACAAGTTGGGAGGGAAAAGAAAGCTTCTAATCTCCTCCATGTGTGGTAGACTTTAAATTATTTGTGAGGGTTTGAGAAAGTTGTGTTAGGCTAAATGGGAAGCCAGAGTCTTTTTATAGTTTTGTTTCTCTACTTTCTTAGTTCTTCTTATTTCTGGTCTTGCAGGAGTGGTGTCCTGATTAAAACATTCTGCCTTCTGAAGCCTGTTGGACACATGTTAATTGTGTTTTTAAATAAAAAAGTCAAATAAAACGGAATGAGAAAAGTCTGCTTGAAACTCTAAGTTTCTGATTTATGTTTGTATGTTTGGTGCAGTTTGCTTCTCTAAATATCAGTCATAAATGATTATGACTGATTGTTTCGTGGGTTTTTAAGCTGCGCGTATTAAAAATACTTTTCTAATATAAAAATACAGAATTATGCACTCTTACTGAAATAGAAGCTGTAATTTAAGATGGCTTGATGTGGTAATGTGGATACTCTGTTTTTAGTTTGAAATTTTAAAAGAATCTATCTTAATAAAGAGCTGAGTTTTATTCATATGACTCAGTTTTTAACCCTGATTCCTCAAACACTTAAAAATTACCATTACCTGCATGGTAATAACCCCTAAAACACTTCTGTAGCTGATGGATGACATGAAGTATGACCCTTGTGAGGTTGCCCTCCTTGTTGGGTGCAATGTTTATCTGGCTGGTTGTAGCAGGTAAAGGAGCCCCAGCAGAGCCTGTGTGATGGTGACACATGGAGTTGTCCTGCAGGTTACTCCTGAGATACCTCCAGGGACTCTTCCCAAGTGCTTGTCCTGGCTGGCAGTGGGCTGTCTAAGGCTGTCTAAGGCTGTGGACTGTGGCCAAATAGGGGTGTGGAGGGGACGAAGTCAGGTTGAGGTGAGCAGGCCCTCTCCCAGCAGACTTCTTTCTGCTGTTTGTTTCATTTGGGGCAATATTTCACCAGCAGACCTGGTACTCCCCTATGTCTAATTAAGTTTCTTACCTGCTGGCTTTCCAACTCTGTTACTCCTTCATGAATTCTTTTGTTGGTTTTTTTGTTTTGTTTTGTTTTGTTTTGTTAAAGCAGCATGTGCTAACACCCTAGGGCTTTCCATAAGGACTACCAGCATTAACATGATGTAAATATATGAGAACCTGGTCCTCTCTGTCCAGAAATCCTTCCAAGTTACATCACTGCTAAAGTCTAACTGTCAAAACAGCTTTTGTCAAAACAGTTTCTCAGCAATGGTTCTAAACTTTTGCTAGTGGGGTTGGGTAGCTCTTGGCACTGGAAATCGTCTTTCTTCTGTTGATGTGAAGTGCAGGTGGAGTAGATAACACCTTTCTACTGGTGCTGTAGATATATTCCAGCTAGCTGGCTTCACTTTCAAACCACTAGATGCTGGGTAGAAAAGCTATTTTTATCACCAAAATGGCTGTCAGGCCCAGTGCAGATAGAGAAACTGGAAGAATTCTTTCCAAAAGCTGTAAGAAGAACTATCTGAATTATTTGGACAATTAGCTTCATGTATCACTGCACAACAATCAGTAAGTCCAAACTACGTTACTGGAGGCAAAACTATCAGCATATTCTGTTAAAACTTTCACCTGTTAAGACAGGTAATTTCTTTGCTAGATTTAATCTTCACTGTTGGATCTCATTTCTGATCATGCTCAAAAAGTTTTTGTAACGCTATACCTTTTACAAGTTGATTAGAGAAGCAGAGCTAGGCAGAACATAATTATCTTGGTAACTGTTGGTTTGCAACTTATCACTTGTGTAATTGACACTAGATGTAGATTTCACCCACTCTTCAATACTTAGAAATGTAAAACTATCTGGTTTTAAATGTCAGTGAACTGTTCGTCCAGTGTACTACAATTGTAAAGACAATACAGGCTTATTATCCTCTGAGCAATTTTATCTTGCCATGCTGAAGTAGCAGCAATAAAAGTTTAACTAGAATCTCCCCCTTGTAATTTAGTCAGTTGCCGTGTTTGTGTTCTGGAATTATATTTGATAATGTCCTATTCATCATTTGTCTTGTAATTAGTCCTTGTGAAGAGACCTCTGAGTCAATCAAGGAGCCCTTTTGACTCGTGGGCTGGATGGGCAGCACTCCCTCCAAGCAGCAGGGAGCTGCCACAGTTATACCTTGCTGTGGTTTAGGTGGGACTGCAGGAAAGTCCATGAACAGCATTTCTGGGAGGGCTTTTTTGGGTGCTGGAGTATTACTGGTGCTTTGGACATGTTATCTGTGATGGTTATGAAGAGACTGTGGTGGTGCTGGAGAGTGTTCTGGAAGGCTCAGTATGGGTAGAGTGGAGAGAGGTCTTTTTTAAAGTAGCATCAAGATAGCTCCTGAGAGAGTATGAGCTTGTCCAAAAGGGCTGGAAGTGATGGATGCTGATCTGGAACCAATGTTGTAAAACCTTACGTTATTTAAAACAAACACCAAACCCTCTAAAATATGCTGAAATATGTGAGTGTTAAATATGCTTTAAAAAGAAATACTGAATGTAAAAAGAAAGGGGAGTCAGATTGGAAGGGAAGGAATCTGTAGAACTGCTGAGATAGATATATAAAGGAAAATATGTTCTAGAAAACAAAAGCAGGGTGTCCATCAGCAGGAACTGTTGCAAAAATACAGCTAAAATGAAAAGTAGGGACAGAGTAAAGAAGATAATGAGGAATAAACAAGTAATTTATGTGTTAGTATCTGAACTGAAATGAGATTACATGTATTAGTTATAAAATCCTCTTTCATTGTTATAAGATTATGTCAGCAACAGACAAAACTGAGTGAAGGAACAGGGATAATGATTCTCAGACTAAATATTTATTCCTTTTGAATTTTTTCATTGATTGTGGACTTTTTGAATTATGATATTAAAAAATAAGTAGGTATTCATTGATAGAGAGTAATTAATAGAAAATATTGCTGACTACTACTGTTAAGAACTGATGTAGTCTGCCATGGTACTGAATGACTCATTAATAACTGACTGGGTCATGTGTTGTGAATGATAAATCTTTATAATTTCAAGTGTCTGAAAACTGCTTTTAGAACTTTTGAGAGTTCTTTCCCTGTATTTTTATGCAAATAAAGTTACGGTCCTGTACTCTCTTTAACTAACCAAAAGCAAAGCAGGTCATGTCATGGTAGTAAGGAAATACCTCCATGAAATAATTGTGTAACCACTTCTTCAAGGCGGGGGGAGGGGGGGCAGAATTCTTGTTCATATTTACTCACCTGTTGTTTCCAAAGTGATTACTGGAATCACCATTTGCAGATAAGGAGTGTGAGAGAAAAACCTATTTGCCTTGGCTGGTACTATGTGTAGCAACAACCTTAAGGATGGATGTTCTGGGTGGGTTTTGACTTAGCAGTGGGAGACTAGTGAGACAGACAATCCAGGACAACAAAGAGGTAACAAATTAATTCTGTCGTTAGATGAATGCCCTGTTCCTTCAGAACTGAGCAAATACAGTGACAATCTGTCATTTCTGATTATCGGCACTTTCAGTGCTTATGAAATGCTATCTGCCAGCTGTGGTGTCACATGATACCTTAAGACTTGTCACCAGCCTGGCAGAGCACTCTTACCACAGTTACAAAGCTGCTGCTCTTCGCAGCTGGGCAGGAAGGCAACACTCATATACAGTCTTTGCTACAAGTTTTAGGTTTTGGCTTCTGAGTTGTTTCCCATTAAGAAGTGTGGGCTGTGGATCTAGAAGGTCCTGTAACAGTGACTTACAGGGGGATGGGTTTGTGGAAGAGGAACTGCAGCCCTGTTTTCCTGCTCTTTTGCTGTAAAGCCTCAGGATTTTCCCCCTGTCCTCAGATTTGTGCACCTAATGCAGAAATCCAGAGAGAGGAAGTAGCACTAGAGAGCTATGGGTGTGAAGGTGGGCTGTGGCTCATCAGTGGAGGTTTGACATGGTTAAAAACCCCTAGCTGGGTAAACTTCTCAGACTAGACCTATCCCATTTCCCAATTGTGTGAGATGCATGTCTTTGCAGTAAGGAGCTGCTCTTAGTCCCTGAAGAGTTGCATTGTAATTTGAGCTGTGCAAAATCTGAGGTACAGGACACTTGAGATAACTGCCATGGCAGTTTTGGAGAGAAAATACATTTATAGATAAAACAGTTCTTCAGTAAATGATTTAAGATGGCAGAGGTGGATAAAGTCTAACAAATGTGAAACCTTTAGCTAATACAGTGAAGAAATCGGGCTTGAGTTGTGTAAACACAGGCATCTAATCCTACTGAGATGCTCTAGGATCTCTGGCATCCACTTACCAGCAGGGAATGGGCAGTGTCAGACCTCCTAGTCGTAGGAGAAGCCTTAGATATCCCAAGGGGCACTATGTGCTATAAAGTGTTTATGTAGCGGAGTCAAGACAGAATCTGTATGTCCATAATGCTGACTGTCTGCACTTCATGATGTCCCATTCCGTGTCACTGTTCCTGTAAAGGCATGCAGACACATGAAAGTCAATGGGAAGACGCGCCTGGAATCCATAATATGATGTTCTTTCTGATTTACATTCCTTTCTGAAGAACCAATTGCACAATTTGGCTGCAGTGCCTGATATCTTATTTCTGGTGTCATAAGAACTCCTAGTTCTTGGAATCTGCACACCTATGATGTATAACGTCTAAAAGAGTGCTCAGCTACATGATTAGCTTCCTGAATACATAATTTGCACCTCCTATGTTTCTTTATCTTTCTTTCTACATTGCTTCACCTGTTTCTTTTTTCTTTTTAATCTAAAAAAAAAAAGAATCTTTTTTATATTCTAATCAGACCCTGAGATTGGTCTACTGTTTTAAATTTGAATTTTTAAAAGTTCGGTTTTCTAAAATGTTTTAGCACTTGAAATTTAACATTTTGATATCAAAGCACCTTAATACTGTGCTACTGATAAATTATTAAATGGGTAATTCTGCTGAGAGAGGTTACCATATTACCACCTTTGTGAAGCTTTTTTGTAGGAGACTGTAGGTAAGCCTGTGTTAGGATGCAGTCTTAGCCAAGAAACAGCTCTGATCTGTAGCCATGGATTCCAGCTCACTGGAATGTGCAGCAAAATGTTCTTTTTGGAAGACTTTTTGCATTGCACTCTTCCCACTGTTTAGCGAACATTAGACCAAACGTCATTTTCTGAAGGGCCCTGTGATTGCAACAGTACTGTACATTTGGTAATACTTGGAAATGCTGCAGTCATTTCCCTTTCCTCTGAGGTTGCAAGGTCCCAAACATTCTCATCTGCCCTGTAATTGGTGATAAACATTTCTGCTCACAGTTTGTTTAAATCTGTTGTCTACAGTACCAAGTTCTGTACAATTGTTCGTTGCTACACTGAGAGTGACACTGCCTGCCATTTATTTTTTGGGACTTAAAAGTAGAAATATCTAGAGTTAAAATGGAAGTACAAAATTGATTGAGAGAACCTGAGAGAAAAGCCTCCTCACAACTTATTCTCTGAAGTCTGTTGATTGTACAATGAAGAGACATTGTATGTTCTCACCACCCATCTGCGCTGAAAATATTATCTTGTGCTATTCTTACAGCTTTGGTTTGATTGACTCTGATTATAAGCAGATTTTTACTTTGTTTCATAGGTCTGACCTGCAATCTGCATTTTTTATTCTATGCTTATCAACTATATACCAAGAGAGTGGATGTAAAACTCATGAAAACAGCAGTATAATAATAAAGTATGAACTTCAAGACCGTTATCAAGAATGGAGGCTAACATGGCTCATATTTACAAAGAAAAAATTATATAATTGTCAGCTCTTCTAAAAACAAAACCCAATAAACCCCCAGACCATCTGTTCAGTATGGTTGTTTTCTTGGGTGCCTCCATAGGTCAACAGTTTCCAGGGTTGAATACGGTTAATTGCTATAGTGGTTTTATTAGTCTGCATTTTAATCTTGCCAAATTTAATGTTAGAAGAGTTGCCTACTTAATTTTTTTAATTTTGTTTTTATTCTTCTTAAATAAATAAGGAAAGAGACAGAATTCTACCAATTTAGCTATTTCTAAGGTTTTTATCTTTTTCAACAGTAGCTTTGAATGATTAATGTGAGCAAATGCCTTTTAGTTTTGTCTGCCAGTGGAAAAGTGTACCTGAGCTCGTTCAAGTGCTGTTAATGAAAGTGATAAAAGCAGTGATTTGTTATTGCTGCTGCCATTAGTTACTGTTTTATGAATCATATGATCTGAGGAAATACAGTGTTATTGCCTTGCATCTGGTAACACAAAAGAACAATCAAGCAAGAGAAAGATCTGTAGCAGTTAACAATAAATCTATTTTGGGAAAAGGACCCTCTCTTCTTCCAGCTGGGATGGGGGGGGATGTGTGGAATGGACTTGGGGGACAGGAAACTAACCTCTCAAAATCAACCTTTTAATTATTTCTAGAAGGAAGGGGGAAGATAGTGCCTCATGAATTCTAGTATCAACAGAACAGTTGAATGGATCAGTAATAATATTCATCTGTTGTCTGATTTTTCCTGTCTACTTAAAATCTGAAACACTTGCATACCAGAAGAACCTTTTCTAAATTTTCAACCATTTCTTTAACTTACCATTGAATTGTTTGCCATTAGTTTGAAGACTGTGTTTGAGTTTTTGGTAGAACTGTGATTCAAGAAATCGTGGATGAGAATCTCTTTCCATGTGCATGTAAATTATTCTCTGTGCTTCATCAAAGCAAGGTTGTGTTGGCACTTGGATATTCCTCATGATCCCTTTCTTCGCAGGACTGTCAGTGTTAATCTGAAACAGAAAGCAACACCACTAAGGCATCTCTGAATATATACAAAGGTAGGGGAAGGATCATTGAATTCAGGGGATCTGTATTGAATGCCTTCTATTTATATCTTTTTATGTATTTTATAATCCAAAATCAGAACTGAAAACAAACCTTTCATTTGCTAAGAGTTGTTTCTAGATCTAGGATTAGATTCTGTAGGAGGAAGCCTGACTTTTGATTTGTAATGAGTCCAAGTGTGTGAAGGTGCACATTACCAGTGAAAAACAATGTCTAAAATTGTTCTGATCTCTAGGATAGATAAAACTGAGCCTGTATACAAACCTTGTTACGGAAAAGTTTTAATTTCTAGAATTTTTCTGTTGCAATCCATGGCTTGTAGCAGATAAATTGAAGCTCTGCAGGTGTGTAACAGCAGAAGGGTGTAGTGATCAGCAAATACACCAGGGAAAAGGAAATGTTTGATAATCCATCAGCTCATGATGAATTACATTGTTTATTTTCAGCTTCACTTTGTCTGTTAGTGTTGAGAGGAGATTTGGTTAGTGCTGATGTATTTCATGGGTTGAGATCTTGCACTTCCAGAGGAGTCATTTGAGTGGCACCTTTTTATATGCTGCTGAAATCTGAATATAAACTGGTTTTAAATCCTCATGAGCATCTAGTTTTTTTAGAGTGGTACCTAGTTCTTGTGTTAATAGTGAATATCAAGAATATATGAAATCAGTGTGTCCTGAAGACTTAAAAACCAGACACCAATAGCAAGATTCTATTACACACTATTTTAGAAAAAAATTGCACAGCTTATTTTTAAATGTCCTGATTTAAGCCCTGACTTTTCATTAATTAATTTGTGGTTGGCAAAACTGACATTTCTCTTTTGGAAATGCAAATGTCTTGCTGAGTTTCCTATAGCTGCTCATGCTAAAAATAAAATCAGGGGGAAAAAAAAGGGACAAGAATGCACTGTCTTGCCAATTGGCCTTTAAAACCAAAAGAGGGAACTTTAAAATTTTAAAGTTTTGGATTTGTGCAAGTGGTTTAATCATTTAAAGCAGCAACTGCTCTCAGCCAACATTTGGGAATCCAGCTGATTTGGGTTTAGCTTGTCCTTCAATGCTGGCAGGGAGGCTGCATTTTGAGACTCTATAATAACTTTATTGTTACACATAAACCAAAAAATAATCTAGCATGATTCTCTGGTTGTGTCAGCCTGCCAAAAGCAGTGGCAGTAAAAGCCAGTACTGGCTTATTTTTGCAAGGGGAGTAATAAGCAGGAATGGTTAAAGGTCATAGAGCATTACTGGCTGAGCAGGAATGACTTTTTTCTATAGCCACTTGTCAGGGGAGAAAAATCAGACATTTTATATACAAATCTGCTCTGTTTTCCCTAAACCTTGTGCTGCTGGAAGCAGGAATAAAAAAGGTTATCTGTCCTGGAATCTTTCTTTTAGCCTGTTTTACAAAGGGTAGAGTTTTTACTTTGTTCATGTATATTTACTCTTGCAAAGACCAGACTATTATATATATATGCTGCAGTGCCATAATCCAAAATCTCTTGAAGTTATATCAATGGATCTGATGCTAAAGAGAACAGGACAGATCCAAGAACTCGTGCCTTTTGTATTCTTGGTGGATATAGGTGAAAGCTTTACCTATAGACAAGATGGACTAAGTATTAAAATTTGAGAAAGAGGTTTGGGGAGGATTAATAGTTTTCACTCCCTTTAATACAAGAGGTGCAAGGCATTTAATGTTGTTCTTTGTTGCATGACACATCAGGCCCTTCTGTAAGAGAAAATAAAGAGCTCATGATATTTTTCACCTCTTTGGGAGCCTAGGGTTGAATATATCTCGAAAAAAGCTTCCTGGCCATGGATATCCTTCTCCTCTGACATGTTCTTATAAGCTTCACAAGCAAGCCAGAATCCTGTATTTTCATCACAGTGTTCTGTCTTCAAGTAGGTCTTGCAGATCAGAGGCTCATCTGTAAATATTTTAGAAGCCAAATTTATATAACCTGTATATATACATTACCTTTAAAGTCCTTTGGAGGCAATAGAGATATTTACAAGGCAGTGTAATTTTTGATTGCACACCTACAAATATTGTATTTATATAATATAATATATAAATATTATTAGATCATGTCAAATGGGCAATTAATCACCGTATCTCACCCCCACACTTCAACCTTGCATTTTCCTGCATGTGCTCCCTTTAACTTCAGTGGCATTTCAGTATACAGGGGCAGAGCATGGAAAGCTTTGTTCATTCTGGACTCTGTGAAAAAAATATCCAAAGACTTACAAGTATTCCTAATTTCCAGTTCTAAGTTTTTACAGAAAATATCTAAGTATTAACAAATAACCACGATCTGAGTAAAAAATCAAGACCATTTTTTGTGCTGTAAGAATCTAGGGGGAAAAGCACTTAGTAAAATAGAAGACAATAACTTTTTCCTTGACGATATAAACATTTAAAATAATTCTTTCTTTGGCAAATGAGTGGTTCTGCACCTGAGGATGTTTTTGAAACACGTGGCATGGAGTTTGACGGGAGCAATTAGTGGGACCTTGGCAAAGATTAAGTTCCTGAGGCTTGTTTTGCACAGAATTAGGTGACAGAGTTGCTAAAATGCCTCTATCTAGCAGAATATTTATGAGGCTTCACTCGGTGGCACAACAGTGGAAATGGTGCTTGCAGTTGTGAGATGTGCTTTCAAAGTAAATCCAACACAGGCAAACACTTTGCCCACTTTTCATAAAGAGCTGCAAATCCACTGGCTTTAGAGTCTGTCTTTTTATGTGAGCACACCTTTGCATTTCTTGATGTCATGAAGCTTAGAAATTAATTAAAACTCAACGAGTAGTGCCATCTAAGAACAATGAAGGAGGCATTTTAAGAAGGGCAGCGTTCTGAGTACTGCTGGAAGATACAAGTGTTTTATTTAAAGCAAGCTTTCCTACTTGTGCAGCACTCTGGGCTTTCATATTTCTGAAGACGTTGAACACTCTCTATCATCTGGCAGTAGTGGTGATCACACGTGTGCCTGCTGCTTCTGCTGTGGTGGTGTCTCTTCAAACTGTTTTCTTTTGTGGAGTTTCTTCCTGTGCTTTCCCTGCAAACTGTAACATACTAATTTGTTTCCTGTTAAGGCTCTTACTGGCAAAATCTTTATAGTTAGAAGTTCTGTCTGTTAATCTGCTTGCTCTTCGTAGTTTGTCTGTAGTTTGAAAATAATGTCAGTCCTCAGGAATAATTTTTAGAAGTTTGTGCTGTGATGTAACATTTTTGTCAATATTTAAAAAAAAAAAAAAAAAGCAGTGATGTTCCAGACTGCTGGCCATATGAGAAATGTGGGAGAGCTCTGAGCCCTCTGTGAGGCAGAGGGAGGCTGGGGTGGGAAAGGTCAGAATTGCTACTGCAGCTACAGTTCTTCCCGTATCTGAATACGGGAGTTAACTTCCATGGCATCACCCTGCACAGAGGTACTATTACATACAGTGCCTTTGCCATACATGGGATTTCCCAAGTCAAATTTTCTTTCACTTTTCTGCTAATATAGGTTGCTATTCAGTGCTCTAAGTGGGGATATAGCAGATAAACCTGCCCTCATCGTATGTCTTTAGAAGAATTATGAGTGAATGCAGAAATGGCAAGTTTGGGAAAGCATTTACAGCATGCTACATTTATTTTTAGTGCAATGCATGCGAAGTATGTCACATACAGTTGTTTTTCGTTAGTTGCATATAAGGCAGCATATATTATACAACATGAGTTGTTGATTTTTGCTTTGTGGGAACTTTTTTTCAGTAATCCATCTGGGATGCAAACACACAATTACTTACATTTCCTTGTTACCAGCTTTTCAAAAGACTGGGATCACTGTAGCACTTCCTCCAAAGACACACTTCAGAAAAAAGGAGAGCATTATTGCAGGATTAGCTACAGTTCAAAGTATTAAAAAATATATTACACTGTTGAAAATCTGTCCCCTAATTTAAGTATGATCTGTGTGAAACTTATATTGTAAAAGGACTTTCTGTGTGTCCTAAATCTTGTGCTTATTATGGTGATACAAATATTTTTCTTGCCTTTTAAAGGTGTTCCCATATAATTCCTCTAGAAATGGCATTCACCTATTTAAACTGTGCTTAGGAGGAGCACAAGAAGTTACTAGCTTTCTAGACAGCAACTTCATTGGGACAGGAATCCCCACAGAGTTTGGGGAATACTGAAGTTTGTATTTAGTAGCAAAGTCTTCAAGGATACAAGATCTTATTGTAATATTTAAAGGCCTTTAACATCTAAGCTGATTTATCAGCTGAGAGATTAATATAAGCTCTAAACATAAGGTAAATAATTGAAAGGCTGATGCAATCTTAGCTGCAAGGGTACTTTCCATCTCTCTCTAGTCTGTTTACAATGCAGAATGACACATTATTACTAATCTAGACAGATCTTGGAGGTGACTAAAATCAGATTTTTACTTTTATGTTTGCTATTCTTAAGCAATAAGTCCATAAGCTTGTAGGAGTCTCCTGCCTGATTCTGGGAAAGAGCATGGAAGTAGTGAGGTGAGAGACTAAACAATTTAAGGAAAAACAAATGTTTGAGGGCAGTAGCTCCATTTGAGTGCACATAGCTCCATTTTCACCAACCGATTTTTAAGCATTGCAGTTTTAGGACATCAGTGCTGGTAACTTGGAAAAAATTCTTATGCTTATATTAGTAGAAGAAAGCACAAGGGATTATGTGCCAGCCAAACCTGGAGGAAGATCCATTCTCATTGAGTATTTAGTTTTCATGTTAGCTATAATTCTGACAACAGCTTTTTTTTTGACACAGCACTTCTTAAAAATCTAAATTAAAATTTGTTACAAGTGCTGCATAATGCTGTGTAGATTTCTGCTGCAGAACAGCCATTAGTAGCTTTGTACCTTTTTTAATTGGTGATGACCCATTTATTTTTAATTTGATATAATTATCTTTCTCGGAAAAAGTACATGCTGTGACTCACAGATTTTGTCAGGCTTTTCTCCTCAAAGAAATACACAATAAGAGAAATGTTACCACTGTTGAACTGTATTGTCAATAACTCTCTAGCAACTCTGGCCAGTAAAATAGTTATTTTCTTTTTCATTCTCATGAGCTATTATCCTTCTCTCTGCATAAACTCATGAAGTGTGTTGTTGTGGGGAGTGAGAATCCTTTAAATGATTTCTTTTTTTTTCTCTTTAAGAGCTATTTCTGAGTCATATTCACTGTTACTGACGCAGATAGTTTTTCACCTCTGTCAGCAATGGCACTTGTATATAGAATGAGTGACAATCGGGCCTGTCTCACTGAACATCGTCAGTAGAGCTGTCTTATTTCCATTTCTGATTATTTGTCTTTACCATTATTCTGTGAAGCAGAAAGAACACTGCCCCATGGGGCAGCTGACACAGAGGAAAAGCTTTTTACCTTTTTACTTTCCTTTAAAAATTGGGAAAATGAGAAAGACAACAAGGGAGAATGAACATGAGTTATGATCTGTATTAATGCAACTTTAATAGCTGTCGTGCTGACAGTAAGAGTCTTGCTGCACTGATCTGCAGCATGATTTAATTTGCTGAAGAATACGTATTACACTGAAAAAAAATTTGGTATTCCACAAAAATAACTAAAGCTTTATAGCTGGAACTCCAAAATTCAAATTGTAGTGTCTTGTGGGAGCTATCATTCACTTATTGTACACCCTCCACTGTGAGTGGCTTCCCTCGACACTGTGGTCCAGAAGTCCTTGTCCAGGAGGCACCGGCTTGGGGCTGTTGGGAAGATGTCACGCCCTTTTGCATGACCTTGAGCTTACAAAGAAAACTTCCACTGTGAATTTTGAGGGTTTTGTATCTCTTACTCAGCTGCACGTACTGCAGAACATAACTCTCCTCTTTACTTACTTAGAACCGATCCCATTTTCTTCTGCTCTGAATATCTTGCAAAGCCAACAGGCATTTGGACTCATTCTTCTAAACATGCAAAATATGTGAGCTTTGAATGGCTATGCTCAGTTGTGGCCTTCTTAAATAAAAACTTAAAATTCACTGTACGTATAGCAGTGCAATCAGTTCTAACAGTATTCTTATTTTATGTATCTGATCTCTGTGTGTGAGTCGTGTCTGAAGCATTTGACCAAAATATATTTTTGTAACATATGAGAACTTAAAAAAAAATAAAAATTAAAAATTATCTTTAAGCAGTCCAGTGAATATCTCTTAGGGAAGAATAGAAATGTTAATAATTCTCCCTTTTAGCTTCCTCAATTGTGAAAAGAGATTAGAAGGTTGAGTCTGACCCAAACCAGAAGGAAACTAGCAGTCTTCTCCCTGAAAGTTCAGAGTGACCTGGATGAGAGATCAGAGCTCAATGTAAACTGGACAATGCTGATTAAGTTGTTAACTGTCAGAGATTAACACTGATATTTGTCCAGCATGTATCTCAAAATCAAGAAAACATCATATAAAACTTGTTTTTGTATAGAGATGATATCCATAAGAAAGTTTTTGTTAAGAATGAGGCAGTTAAAAATATGTTTGTCTAGAAAAGACAAAATTTAAAAAATATCTTGTGGCATGGAGAATGTTTATTGCTTCTCCTTTGGTTTCCAAGCAATGCCAATACTTTGGTAAGTTTTCACGGGACAGTGAGTAAGTTTGTATAGACCTGCCTGAAATCAAAACAATGGTTTTATTTATCTAAAGTCAGAGTTTCTTTCAGGTTTGGGTTTGACTGGCACATATTACTCCTAGAACCAATTTTTTTTCCTTCAAACTGAAACACACAATAAAACACAGGACAAGGCCGTATCTGAACTTGTGAACTATGCACATTTGCCTTTCATCTTATTTTCCTTCTTTCCCTGACATCTATATTGAATTTTACATTATTTGAGAGTCTTACCCAGTACGTTTCCTACAGGATATTGAAACTTCATAACTCTGCCCAGCTGCTGCACTGCCACTCCTGCTGCTCATGCTCCCTGCAGCCCTATAGGATTGCCAGTGGCCACTGCCTGTTGCCTGCTTTGGAATTCTCTGAACTATGTTCTCTGCTTTGTTTCTTTGTCACTTCCTATTTGTTTTGTGAGTATTTACTTGTCTCACCCTCTGCCTAAAAACAGAGTGTCTTTTAAAACTACACAATATTCTATATTTAAGATGAAGTTATACATTTAAATTCTGGCATATGATTATTACTTATCACCTTAGTTTAGACTATTTTACCCAATGCCATCTATTTTGGGTGTTTTCATGTGGCAATCATTAGTCTTCTGTTCACTGAAATCCAAGTTACATACAGCCTTTGTGGCTGTTTGGAAACCTGAAGAAACTCATGTAGGTTGCCTGCTATACAGAAATCCTCAAGAAATATTAGATTAAGCAATGTAATGTAATCTAATTCAGCTACTTCCATCTAAATTCAAACTGTCAGTCAGTAATTTTTTTCTTCAGGTGGTTTCTGCATGAAGTTACTTCTGTGTAAGGAAATGTTATTGTTCTGAGGAGCCATTTTAATTTGAGTGAGAGGCTCTATGCAAATATTATTCCCCAGGGTTGTTGAGTACACACATTTGTCAAGCATACACATCCAGGGCTTTGTGGTTCTCTCCTCTTATGTTACTCATCTCCTAGTAGACCAAGGAACAGAGCATGCTGATTATATCTTCTCCAGAGCTCTTTGGAACATCTTTTTTCCACTGAAGCATAGTATATGTTTCACTAGTGAGATGCTGTGTGTTTCTGCTGACCATAGTGTTAACCCTAAAATAAGACAGGACTAGTATGAAAGCTACAACATCCCTTGAGCAGTTTGTTGGGTTTGGATCGTGTGATCTTCACAAGTGCTGCCTGTTACTTTACCTATATTAATGTCTATTGTAAATGGTAAATCGCATCTTAATTACTCAATACATCTTTGCAGAGTTCAGCTAGACTTGGATCATGGGAACTCTTTTCATCCAATCTGTATAAATGATGTGTAGAATCCTTTCTCTTTGCTCATTATGAGGCTTTATTGCAACAAGGCCATAAGTTTTTTTAACGTGTAGGACCTGTGCTTCCTGCAGGACCTGTAATGAAACAAAGTCACGTGACTGCAAGGTTTTTGGAAAAGGAATTGCCTGACTGATAATATATGAATCCAAGTGCTGAAGTTACTTGTGTCTGTAAAACATATAAGCAGTACTGATCTGGAAATGACTGTTTAACCCTTAACATAGTTTATATTGGAGAAACATCAGGAAAACTGATTTAGTATATCAAAGAACAAGATCTGTTTACTTTTCAAATTACAACATACATTTTGATTTTTTCACCACCTTTATGCTGTGCCAATGAATCTGTAAACTACCTAACGCCACAGTTTTTAGTACACATCTAGCTTTCAGCTAGCCCTCAGAGAGAAGCTGCTATATTAAAGTTTTAATTAATTGCCTCTAATGTTATTCAACTTACTTTGCACTGTTACACAAAATATTCATATATAAATAGGGATAAAGTTGTTTATATATCAGAAACATTTCAAACATGAATGCCTTTGCTATGATGACATACCTTTTTTTCTCTCGGCATGAAAAGTTATTTCCCTGCCTTTGCTATACTTTGCTGTTTTAATATATCAGAGTGTGAAATCTTATACTTGCACAAACTCTTCCTGTTTGCCTTGTTTAAAAAGCTTAATTTAGCAGTTCCATTTGTAAGGGTAATTTTCCAAATTTCTTGACTTGTTCTTTTGTTTCATCATTTTCTCATAGTGTAGATAGTCTTAGTACCCTTTGGCTGTGCCTGTGCTGCTTGTGTTAGTGCCTGACTCCTTTTTTTATACATACTTGGGCGAACAGTTGCTGTGGTTTCTACCAGAAAAAGCTCCTTTGATTAAGGGGCGGAAAACATTACTCACAAAACTTGGACAATACATGCAAGATTTCAATGAAGTAAAGCACAGTTTCATGTCATTACTGCTGATCAGTAGAGATGTCAAGATAATTTCAGTGCAAACAGTCTGTCAGTGGTGCATCAGAGTCCAAAGTTCTTTATATGAAATCTAAAGTCCACGTTGAAATGAGACAAAAGGCACAAGCATTGCATTGAAAACAAGTTTCATCTTCCTACAGGAGAGCATTATGAAGCACTTTGAGCTGCCATGAGTGAAGCTTTATTTTCTGCTCTGACCCATTAGTGTCAGGCCTTTATGTGCTTCTAACTGGTCAACCTGCTCTTGCACAGCATCTGAGGGATGTCAGACCAGAATTCTCTTTAAACTTGTATGAGGTCCCCTGTCATTCTTCTCATAGCTGTTGCCCAGATTATGGCCTCCTTTTAAATTAGGACTTGGGTTATCTACATTTTGCTTATTCTTCTCTAGCCAGGTTTTTCAAGGCAGCTGTGCAGAGCAATAGCACTGAAGTTGCTGTTTGTGCCAGTGGTAGATTTGTTTGTAGTGGTACTGGGGCTTTGAGAGTAAGTGCTACCTCAACTAATTGCTGCAAATAAGTTGTGGAAGGGGATATTTCTAGGGAGTTTTCTGTTCTTCCTGGGGTAGTTATGACTTGTGATCTCTGAGGATTTGCCAGTGCCTATAAAGTGCAGACTGACAGTGTTGAGAGGGCAAGGTTGGTCATCTCCCTGCTCCACCTGGCAGCCCACTTGTGTGCAGTGATATTTCTTTCAATCTTGTCTCTCTCTTCTGACTCATTTCTTTTCTTTTTACAGAGCCTCCTAGGCAAAGCATGAGCTGTGTAGAATTGGAACTTCAGTTGAAGCTTGAGCCTACAATAATACAGTGCACTCATTTATTTTATTGCAGCTCACCCTACTGGTATGCAGCCTTTGTGTGTGAGGATGTACACCAGTTTCCCCACAGTAAGGGTTCTGCTAGGGAGGAAATGTATGTGGTGTGCTCACCCACAGCAGAACCTTGTGTTTGAGCAGGGCAGCATCAGACACATGAGACTTGGCCTGTGCTATTGGCTCCTTGCTATTTGGCAAGGACAAATATCCCTATGTGATCTATTTTCTATGGGTTGCTATTTCATTAAATCTTATTTTGTATTCTTCATAATTTTACACAGGATTTTGGAGTATTTTATTCTATTTCTATATTGGGAATGAGAAGGGGCAAATATCTATGCAATGTGACTGAGCTGATTATTCAAATAACCACAATAGTGACATGTTTTGACTTTCTCACATACCTCCTCAAACATCATACTTCTAATGTCTCATATAGAGGCAGTTATATGCTAAAAGCATCTGAGGGCTGGATTGACAAGCTAAAAATGGCTATAAACAATTTCATTTGTAGAACTACTTAAAGTTAAATAAGAAAAAAAGCAGCACATTAATAACGTTGGCTCTGGAGAAGTTACAGAATGAAAATCCCAATTATGTTGATAGCCTCCAGTAGTGATTTGAACCAGTATTTAACTATTTGATTTATGTATGTTTTGTAAAAACCTTGTATGTATAGATAGGTACATGTGCAAGTTCTTTTGCAAAAGCCTAAATCTATCTTATTTTTGTAATAAATTTCATTGGCATGAAATGATAGTGCATCTCAATTCTCAATATTAAAATTAATGATAATGAACTACTTAGGGCTGTTTTTTCTATCAAATGATGTTCAGGAGACCATATATGACCAGATATTAGGTTTAAATTGTGCAGAGACTGAGGATCAGTAACTAATGACTTTATGTTCACATATTTTTCTTTTACATATTGCAGACATAAAGAAATAGTGTAATATTTCTTGAATTGAAATAAACTTGTTTTGGGGTTTTCTCTCTAAGTTTGTTTTTACTATTAAGTTGAAGAAAATACTTTTGCAAACCTCTCTTGACTTGTACACTGGGAGGATATTTAGGTACAGGACTTGTTACTTATTTCATATCTGCAGTTTTGTTGTATTCTTGACCGTGCTCTAAAGCATCATTTGAAATGTAATAGTTATCCACAGGCACTTAGC